GTCCTGAACTGTCCCTTTGGAAGCTGCGTGGACTCTGCCTGGGTCCTGGCTCTGGGCTGCCCCTGCTGGTGCCGGTGCCCGTGCCCGGCAGCCGGGCGGCCTCCTCCCTGGCTTCCTGGGGGGTGCCACCTGGGACCCTCCTCTTGTCCAGAGGCAGCCTTCTCCCTTGGGGTTCCCCAGTGTGCGGGTGGTGGCTCCGCCTGGCCTGTCTTGTTCACCACCCTGGTCAGCCCGGCATCCTCAGAAACAGCAGAACCAGGTGGCCTTTGCCCTGACAGTAGAGGTGGCCAACGCTTACAGAAACCGGGCGGCAGGCGTTGCCCTCCCACGTGGGACAGGACCACAGCCTGAGCCACGCTGCTGCGGAGACCGTGTCTTGCTGCACCTGCTCTTTCAGAGGCGGAGGAACCCCGGCGCCAGATGGGGCGCGTTTCTTACAAAAGGCTGTCAATGGAAGTTTGGACGCTTCTCCAACAGTACGTGGAGTAGCTCAGGGTCATTCCCTCAGCCTTTCAGCCTCGGAGCCCCGCCACCCCACCCCGTTACACCACGGTGACGGAGCTGTCTGTCGTCGAGCACGTGTGGTGCCCTCCAGGCTCCGCGAAGAGGGAAAGGCACGAGTGTGGAGAGGGAGGCGGGGGGCGTCGACGAGCAGGAGGGGGTGACAGGAGATGGCAGGCACAGCTAGGAGAAGCCTCAGAGCAGCCGGTGTGGGCGGGGCAGGTGTGGGAGGTGGGGAGCCGGCGACAGAGGGCCGGGAGCCATCTGCAGGCGTCTAAAGGAGCGGGAGCTGGTACCTGGTATGGCTTGTAGTCTTCGTTCCAAAGCCCAGAGATCTCGGGCTCAGCTAACGTCTCCTCCTCTGAGCTGGCCCCGGGGTCCCCCTGGATGAGCTCACTGGAGATGACGTCCACCAACCGAGAGGGCCCGGGGCCTGCTGCAGCCTCGTAGTCCTGCAGTCGGGGAGAGGAGCGTCATGAAGACACGCTCATGGCAGAGAACAGGGGAGAGAAACTCGGCCCAGCTCCCGCTGGTACGGCCCGCTGCCTGCCCCTGTTCTGCCTCGTGTACTCTGCATGGAGATAGCGGTGCACATGGCTTTGTAACTTTTTCTACTTGAAATATAAGTATTTTAATACATTATTAAATATTTTTCTACAATGCTCGGAAGAGTCTGCAAAAAATGTCCTTTGATAGGAAAATGTTCTAATTCACGGACTGGAATCCCTGGCGCTGGTCCTCAGGCACTCATCT